TTGAAGTCATACACACACATGCACACATAGTGCATTCACATAAACACATACATAATACATTCATACATATGCACACATAGTGCAGTCACATAGACACATACATAATACATTCATACATATGCACACACAGTGCAGTCACATAGACACATACATAATACATTCATACATATGCACACATAGTGCAATCACATAAACACATACATAATACATTCATACATATGCACACATAGTGCAGTCACATAGACACATACATAATACATTCATACATATGCACACATAGTGCAATCACATAAACACATAGATAATATAGTCACACATGCGCACACAGTGCAGTCACATAGACACATAGATAATATCAGGCGTTAATAATGACAAACAATCATTATTAACTCCTGATAATATGGTCACACGCATGCCCACATAGTGCAGTCACATAAACACATATATATTATCAGGAGTAAATAAAAGAGATTCTCTATTATTCACTCCTGATAATATAGTCACACGCATGCACAGAATGCATTCATACACATGCATGCGTAGTATAGTTACGTACCATCATTGCTCAGCCATCGAAGAAGGTCGTCTGCAAATGCAGAGAGCCGGAACATATAGTTATTCTCGCAGATCCATTCGACGGGTTGCCCCGACTCCAACGACACCTGCGCAGCAAAGGCACGCACTTCACACGCACAAACAAAACACGACGTTCACCAGACAAGAACTGACGTCGGCCATATGTAAATATGCACGCATGGTCTATAATGTGCAAATGGTCATCGAATATCAGTGTTGGAAGAATGCAATAGATGTATACTTGGTCATATGTTGACATTGCTATCGCATTGTTCAATATTCTAGCAGCCAAACCAGAAGACCCTAGTCAAAAACGTAGTCATTGCAATAGTCGTAGCTGCAACCATTTCAATGCATAATAATGTAACTAATTATCATTGCAGATATATGATGATTCTGACAATTGCTCCCTGGATTCGAATTTACTACTACCCTGCAAACCCATACCCACTTTTTGCTTCTGGATCAATAGAATATTATAATTTTTTGAGCAACTTATCCAATCAGATTAGTATAAAACTTGCCCGTGTCAACATCACAGAATTGTGAAACCTAAACGATACATAAAGTCACTATGGGCAGTGCATGTGTACTGCCATAAAATATTAGTTACTCGCTACACTTGCACCACCCACCTTGCAGCGACCTTCAGATCGATATCCAACACTCGACATTACAGATTGGCTGGAAATCTGACAGATTCATTTTTTTCAGAGGTTATTAAACCCTATGCATCAGTATCAAAAAACTTATTTGTACCTTGGGGAAGCTAAGCTGACTCACCTTGATTGGTATGCCTGCATCATCCACGATTTCTTCAACGCGAGATTGCGGCACAAAGCTTTCGTCAGCCACACAGTACCAGCCGTTGTACGTTCCCTTGTAGATGTGACCGCTTGCTTCCAGCTCAGCCTGATTCCCAACATCCATAATCAAAGTCCATTGAGATAATCGCATTACACGAAGAGGTCGTAGTGAGAAACCAACAAATGATATGTTTTATCTGTGTGTAAACCGTCTGACGTTGGAAACTGGACACCACCGATTATTATGTGCCACTTGGGTTTATAGCATCTGAAATACTCTTTCTAAAAAGAAGTTGGAAAATTAATTGAAAGTATTTTTTGAGCAAAAAGGAACAGTTTTACAACAACACGCACCCATATCTTGCAAACGACTGCTTTATGTCTGCTTTCTGTCGTCCTAATGTAAGCCGTATGTCTCACACCAGCTTTTCTGAAAAGATCCTATGATAAACAGATAAGTCCTGACATCTAGTGGTAGCTAACATGACCTGTTTTGTAACATTAGGGTTTCACTACCTGTGAGATAAACACTGCCTATACTAAATGATAAAAAATCAATATTAGTATGAATATATATATATATATATATGAG